CGGGAGAAAAAGTGCTCGAGGACGTAGGGAAAAGGGAAGGCTGCGCGCGAGAGAGGCTGATAGAGCGCGTGTAGTTCGACGGTATCGAGCGGTTCACTCGTAAATTCATCTCGAGGACGTTTAGTATGCGTTTTCGAATGCAGTGAAAGTGGCGAGCGCGCGGCGACATCGGCATCCTGTTACGTTCAGGGTCAGATCGGCGAACGGCCGACGTTTTCCTCTATTTTCTCCGTCTCGTCTAGCGTCCCCTCGGTTCCTTCCCTCGGAACTTGGACAATCGCTAAGCCGAATCGCAGATTCGCCCCGCGTCGCGAGCGGGATCAACGATAACACCGGCGAACGATCATGCGGAGGAGCGAGGAGCCGCGCGAACGTTCGCGTCCTCCGCGGAGGAACGAACGCCTCTCGATAAACGGAAAGGTGGTCGCGATAAACAGCGGCCGCGTGACGCGCGGAGAGTTGGAAACGCGAGAGATAAACGGCGCACGGCAGACTTTATTTTACCGGCGCGTCACGTTCCATCCGAGCCGCGCTAGAAAGATCCGCGAGCGCGTTATCTGGTGACGAGCGATCGCCGAGAAAACCGTGTCGCGGCTCGGTCAGCCGGATTAATCCTTGGCGATACCTGTCGTCCGCGGTTACGAACGTCGGAGCCTTGGAATCGAACGAGTACGGTGATGCCTCCGTCGACGTTTCGGATACGTTCTTCAAAATATTCCGTTCTCAGTCCCTTGCCGTGCAATAATCTATGAGTTTCATGGCGAAGATGTCAAACGGAATTTAGCCAATACGAATATCACTCTGTTCCCTAGATTTCAAATGAGATATTTTGCTATCAATCGTTACACGTTAGAACCGTGGATGTAGGATACGTCCAGAGATTTCCCAATTTTTCTAATGAATTATTAACGTCGATTATCGGTCGCAGTTGAGAAAGAAATTGTACAAGCCATTTTTCGATGGCGAGAACCGCGTTACGTTCGGCGACGGAATGTCCTCTACGCGTCGCGCGTTTAAAATTCGAGAAAGAACCGCGTTACATCGAATCGGCGTTAATTGAGGTAGCGCCGAACGGGGTCTCGGCGTGTTACAATGTGTCTGCCGGCGAGAATCGGTGTTCTTACCTCGCCGCGAGGCTAAAGACCCCGGACACACCTGTACGGGCGCGAGACTTAGGCGACGGACGCGCCAGAATGCCGGATAGGAGGACGAATCTCCGGGAATACCTCGAACGTATCGAAAGTTCAAGGCAACCGCGAGTGTCCTCGACTCGCCTCGCCTCCGTTCGACGTTAGAATTAGCGATCGCCGGCCGCGGAGATTGCGCGCGGCTCGCTCGGGCCGATCACGAGCGGTTTTCCGCCGGGTCAGGCTCCGTTCCGATCCGCGGAAAACGCGATCGCGGGGGAGGACGAGATTTTTCTCGGTCCGCGTTTAGATGGATCCGTGGGACGAAGCGCGGAGAAACGGATTTCCGGGTACGAATCGGTCCGGTGGCGCCGAGTCGCGTTTAACTTCGAGTTTCGTGTCAACAATTCCGAGCAGCGGTTCCATAAATATCGTCTGTCGCATCTTTGATGTCGATACTCGCGCGCGTGCGACTGCCTACGTTTCCCCGGAATCGCTCGGATCGACGCCTCGCGGCCGCGGTCCTCGCTTTTCGATCGCTGAGAGACAATGGAAGGAAAGACACCGATCGACCGGCGATCCTACGATCGGATCTCATTGTCGTTGGGAAATCGAGGCGAGACTTCGACTCTATCGGAGAAGACAGAGAACTCTCGAGTTTTCTGGTTACGAGGGAAGCTTCTCGTGGATGTTTCACTGGCTACACGGCTGCTAGAGAAGTCACGATCGTTTGGGAGACCTTCGGAGTACCACGAAGAAAGGGACCGTGAATCTCGCGGTGTCTATGATCGAGATGAATCTCGGATCGTGGCGTTTAGCGGTGTTGATCGTGCGCCATTAAAAGATCGTGTTAACGGTACTCGACCGTTTCGGCGATAAAGTCGAGGGGCGCCGAGCCCGCTTGTCGTATCGAAGGAGAAGGGGAAGAAGACGACGGAGAAGAAGAAGAAGGAGGAGAAGAAGGAGAAGGAGATTGGTTTTTGGGGAGAGGAAAAGGGTGCCGAAGGGAGGCAACGAGAACGTTAGATACAACCACGAAGAAGAAGAAGAAGAAGAAGAAGGAGTAGAAGAAGAAGAAGAAGAAGCAGAAGAAGAAGAAGAAGAAGACGACGATCGCGACGACGAAGACGACCACGACGACGGGAGAGAAGAGTAGGCAGGCGAAAGAGAGCGTCGGTGCGAGAGTGTCTATTTACGAGTTGTCCGGCGCCGTGATGTCCGGAGTAAAAATACATCGTAGTCCGTATGCCGTGCGCCACACAGAAACCCTCTTGTAATTCTCCAATGCTCTCGAGCTGCTGGCTGCCTGGTTGCCTCTCTTCTGTTCTGTTCGCTTGCCCGGTTGCCTGGCTGCCACTCTGGCTGCTCGCTCGCTTCCTTGGTTCCCTGTTTGCTTGCCTGTTTGCCTGTTCGCCTGTCTAGCTTCCTTACCTCTCCTCTTTTTCCTCCTTCCTTCCTTCCTTTCTTTCTTTCTTTCTTTCTTTCTTTCTTTCTTTCTTTCTGTCTTTCTTTCTCGCTTATTTCTTTCTTTCCTTTTCATTCTACCCTTGTCTCTCCGACTGCCCGTAGCATTCTACCAGCAGCCTCTGTACCTCTAAATGATTCGACTCCGACTCCGACTCTACTCCGACTCTGAGTCTGACTCCGACTCCGACTCCCTTGGAACGCGTCCAACAGCACCCGGAGAGCTCCCGCGACATGTAGCTTTTGGAACACACCGCCGCCGTTCTGTATTCCGCTCTGCTACCGATCACGCATCCTCGGAGGATAGATTTTCCGTTTCTTTCCCGGCTAGAGCGGCGATCGGCGAACGAGCCTCGCAACCGCGGCCTTCTAAATAGACGAAGATTAACAGCCTCCGATAGGACATTCGTTCGTTCCGTATAAATCTACGGGAATTCTAATTTCCTCATTAACTTGCGCGGCTATTTGAATACCAGGTATTTAACCCTTGAACTGCCGGGCATAAGAGTGATACGTAATCCGTATAAAACTTGTAACAATAGATTATTCTCGGTTTCTTCAGATATTCGTTACAGTATTCGATCGATACTATTTATTTTCTACGCGATTTCGAATATTCGACGCTCTCGAGATACCAGCAGTTGCGAAACAATATCGAAACCGGTCGTTCCGACTGGTACGGCAGTTCTGGCGTTAATATCGCGCTCGTCGCGGCACGCGCGGAATATTAGCCTTCCAATTTCGGCGCAGCGCAAAACAAAGGTTGCTCATTACTGGGCTAGCTCTATCCGCGCTCCGATCCCGCGTCACTCGCAGTCTCCGTCGCTCGTTCCGCCTGTCTCTCGCTCTCTCCCGAGGATTTCCCCGCTCAGGCTCGTCCGCGAGACTGGAAAAGCTGTTCTCCTCGAGGCGAACGTCGATCGGGTATCGCTCGATCGGGCCCGGCCAGTTTTCTATTCGGACAAACGCGCCAGCCAACGATCGCGACCGATCGGCCAGCAACTATCCAGGCCTTCGAACTATCGTACACGCGTCGCGTATCACGGGAGATTTATTCGCCGGGGATCTTTGCGCGTTCGCGCCACGCGTGAATGTGCAGAACGCAAAGCAACCGACGGCCGTTCGGACGAAGATCGATGGCTTCTTTATTTCATCCTCGATCTAACGAACCGCCTCGATCGGCGAAACGAATTTCCTTTCGGAGTTTCTCATTCTTTCGGCCGATCGATCTTCGCGCTCGTTTCTTCGCTGGTAGATCTCTCTAAGAGATCGAGCTATGAACTACCGAAAATTTCCTATTTTACAATCATCGAAACTCTAAAGACATTTCTCTGAGAAATTCTCGAACAAGTGTTCCTACGGACACAATAGAACTACGAGCCTCAAGAACCCAATCTTCCGATTTTCATAAGGAACTATAAATAAGCCACTCGAATCGCTCTGTGGTTCTAGCGCCGATCCATCGGCTAAAGGTTCCATATGCTAAAAATCACGCGGAAGCGTCGTCGGCGTAAACATTCGTCCGCAGGCGGCAAAGTCGTGGTTCGCCGTCGCGCGAAAACGTGCCGCTTCCGGTGGTCGATAAGCGTCGCTCGCCGAGCGACGAAAGCGGCGGTGGTCCCGTTCCGCCGCGGCTCGCCGGCCGTGGATCACGGGAAATCGCGGGCTTAGCGGGCTCGATCCGATCGGATGTAATGCTCTTAATGGCAGAAACTGCGTCAAACCGTCCTCCCCCGCCGCGGCGGCTGCGGCGGCGGCGGCGGTGGCGGCGGCGGCGGGTATTATTAAACCGCGTTAAGAAGATTTCGTTTCGGCCGCGCGGGGAACGCCGGGCACACACAACCGGGCACCGGCGATTTAGAGAAGTTGTTTGCGTCCTCGCCTCGATGACTTAATGCGTTTCGCTCAAGTCGTCCGTCGCGGAATACAGACGAGCCTCCGTTTTGCCAGAACACGTAACGCTGCCCGGAACTTCCGCGCGCCGTTCGATCTTCGGAACGAAACGAGCTTCCCGGAACACGGGAAGAAGGAATTAGCGAAATTACCGGTGCCGCGAGGAAACAGGCGAGACGAGAAGAGTCGTTCGTCGGGCTTTATCGGGAAATCTGTTCGGCGATTTATCGGTTTCCACCGGGGGAACACGGATCATTGTTCACCGAACGAGGTATCGAATGTTTTCGACGTTCCCAGACGCTTCGTTTTCCCATACGATCGAGATCGTTCGACAGATGACGCGAGAACGAACCGGCACCGGAAGGCGGTTAAAAAACCGAGCGCGTATCGGTGTCGCGGCGCAATCTGTTCGGTCCCGTTCAGTCGGAAAATTTGGGAGCGCGTGGAGAGAGGGAGGGAGCGCGATTCGCGCGGCGAAGCGCATGTTCGTGGTTGTCTAAAATTGCGTCGGAGTCAGGCAAGGTGGCCGGTTCGCGTGGTATTCGTTTCACGAAGGTAAATAAGAGGCGGCCGTGGAGGGCCGTGCACGCTCGCCCGCTCGCTCCGGACCGGTGTAGTGTTTTCCACTTCCTCCCAGGCTGAAAAATGACACGCGAGTAAGGTAAATACGGTGCGGCAGGCCGGCGGGAAGGCGACGGGTACGCGCGCGACGACGGGCACGAGCACGAGGACGAAGACGGGGATCGGCAATCACAGCCATTAGCCGCTATTTTTGTCGGAGGGCCGAGAAACGCAGTGTTTTCGTGCAACTAAAGCCGTTTCGGCACTCGGAACGACTTCATCGTTGCGCCGGCTCGCGGAGCGGCGCGTCCTCGGGATCGGCGGCGGACAATAACGATCGACAGCGATTCATCCCGCGATAAAGATCGGACTCGGATCTTATCGGAGGCAGAGATGAATCTTCCGATGTACCGAGAGAATGGAAAAATCAGTGGAAGACTCGATCCGACTCGAACGGCAGCGCGTTTGATCGAATCTCGAAGCGATTTTTCTATCTTCGCACACCCGAGGATTCTTCTCCGGCCTTCGATAACGTCTAAGCGGATGATTATCGCAGGATAAATCGGTTAGATCGTTACTACCCGTTTCAATCGGGTTTGTAATGTTAAATTTCCTTGCGCAACCGAATCTTCCCCTTTCTCTCTGTCTCTCTGAGTGAAACGAAACCGCTGTCGGAGCGATTTCCAGCGGCGCGTTTCGCTTCGGAACTTCGGAGCCCGGGTCGGCCCGTTCCCAACGATGCCCCGATATTTGCTCGTGCTCGCAGAAACGTGATATTAACGTGTCCCAGCGGTTTCTTTCCTCGAACGGCGTTAAAATACAAGACAGCGGCGCGCGTCCCCGGGTGCGCGCCGGTATCCCGCGGTTCTTTATTTCTCGAGCGGTTTCGAAACAAATCCTACGAACAAATAAATAAGACCGGCGGATATATACCGTTTCCCCGAAGGAACGAACGCGAGTAGGCGTCGTTCCGAATTATTCGCGGGAAACTTCTCGCCGGTGGGCTGGCCGTCCCGATACCGTGAAACCTCCTTTCGGGGCTCGCGTCTTTTCCCCGGCTCGAACCTCTCCCCCAGGAGACGCTCGAGCGGCTGCTCGCCGATAGCCAGCGATCAAAGACATTGTTGGGAACCCACGCGAGAGGCGAGCGGCCCGATAGAGTATTAATAACGCTATACATTTCGATAGTTTCCGCGTGCGGCATGAGTTGCGACGATAACATAAAGGCCGAGCTGCCTACTTTCCATTCCAGAAGGACTTAGAAACCAAGAATTACAACTATGACCATTGTTTCTTTCGCCGCGAAGTCCCCGCCTGCTTCTCTCCCGTGTCTCCGACTTGCGTATAGAGATTTTGGAATCCCAACGGTGTGGATCGCGATTCAAACGCCACCGTTTCGTCTGGAATATTCATTAATCAACCGGCCAATTAGAAAGTCGGAAGTAAGCTGCTCCGAATCGTGTTTTTAAGATGTTCAAAGCCAGTTATCGCGATTTAGACTTGAACGGCGACCTACATCGCGCGTCTTCTTTACGTAAACTTTTCCCTCGAGTAGGCGAAAGCCCTATCCTCGAGAATCCTCGAGTAAGCTCGAACAGCTGGCCCTAGGTCGTTTGAATCCCCGTTTCGCTTTCTTTCGTTTATCCAGGGAAGTTTCTCGAAGTTTCGAGGATTCCTTGGAAACGGGACGATTCGGGCCCATCGGCGGGCCTTTTTTAGCCTCGGTTGGGGTCACGGCGTCGAGAAGAGCACGCTGTCGAGCCGTGTAAGCCCGAAATCTCGAAGGCGAGAGATAGGTTTTATTCGAGGGTCGTCCGTGGCTCGCGCACACCGCTTAGTCGGCCGCGCTGTTACTCGTTCGCGTCGTCGTCTTTTGAATGGGACTAATTTTAGAATGCGCCTACTATATGTGGATAACTGTATACGCGGCCGTGGCGTATTCAGTTTCTGCACGACGGGGCCCGCCACGCTGTACGCACGTCGCAAAATAGCGCGCGCACGTCTGAACCGCGTTATAATTTTATGTTTCCAGCCACCTGACGCGGACCACGACATGGGAGGACCCGCGGAAAACAGCGGCCGCCGCGAACGTGGCGGCCGTCGCCGCCGCCGTCGACAACGGGAAATCGTCGAGCGCCGCCACCAACTCCCTGGGACCGTTGCCCGAGGGATGGGAGCAGGCCCGCACCCCCGAAGGAGAGATCTACTTCATTAATCATCAGACGCGCACCACATCCTGGTTCGACCCGAGAATTCGTGAGCATCCGATGTTTTCGACATCCCCGTTAGATACATTGTTAGAGATTCAAATTCACCGACAGCGGCGAGACTCCTTTTGCTCGGGAACACTCAGACTTTTACGTTGCGTTGTATATTAACCCTTCGTGGACGAATATTCTTTAAAGCACACGAATCTTGCGACGCGTGAAGGTGAATTGTACATCGAATGATTAACCCTTTGCGGTCGAGAGGTGACAGAGTCATCGCTAGATGTTTCTAGTGCAAAACTTTCGACTGGCTTAAGGGAAAAGGAAACTATACATTGATCTTTTGGTATTCCAGTAATTCAATCAGTCCTTTGCGACTTAGTATTAAATATGAACATTTCAATGTCGACATCCGTCCGCAAAGGGTTAATCGCAGCGACTAAGGTCGCCGGACGCGAACTCCAAGAGGTCAGCAGTGAAATGCAGTGGATTTTGAGTTTGAATGAGTTATTTGGAGTTTACATAGATTATCATTCACTCGTAATCGTACGTCCCTATCATTAAATTACGTCGTATAACGCGTTACAATCGCACGCTGTGAATGTCTGTAATGTATCGATGACATTCGAGTTGCTTCGGAAGTTCTAACAGAGGATTCTCGGTTTCAGCGACCCATCTTCAGAGAGCTCCCACTTCCGGTGCCATGCTGCCGCAGAACTGGCTCCAACAGCAACCCGCAGGTGGTGGTATACAGAGCAATCAAACGTTGCAAGTGTGTCAACAGAAGCTTCGTCTCCAGTCGCTACAAATGGAACGCGAACGTTTGAAGCAACGGCAACAAGAGATCATGCGTCAGGTTGGTGGATCTTGTTCGTTCGATTTTGTCAATGATTTCGTCCTCGTTGGTAAGGTCGATCGCAGATGATTGTGACGATGGGATCGCCGTTGGGTTTTGTTTTGCAGCAAGAACTGATGCTGCGACAGAGCACCACCGACGCTGCCATGGATCCGTTTTTGTCCGGCATTAACGAGCAACACGCGCGTCAGGAGAGCGCGGACAGCGGCCTGGGTCTTGGTTCCGCGTATTCCCTCCCCCACACGCCGGAAGACTTCCTCGCGAACATTGATGACAATATGGATGGTACAAGCGGTGAGATATCCTCGCAGGTGTAGAACTATATCGTAAAGAAAGCGCTGGTCGAAAGACAACGGTTGTTTTTCCATCAGTATATCAACTATGGCCCCGTAACGGTGCCCATGCTAAAGGACGTTGTTCGTTTTTGCAGATGGCGGCGCACCCATGGAGACACCAGACCTTTCTACTCTGAGCGATAACATCGACTCGACCGACGATCTTGTCCCGTCGTTACAGGTGCTTATTAAAATCGACTAACTGTACACGCCGATATATTACGCCGGCCCGCGCGAATTTTACGTTGCTTTTTCTTTCTCCTTCTCCCGTTTCGTTTGCAGTTGAGCGAGGACTTCAGTAGCGATATTTTGGACGACGTGCAGTCGCTCATCAATCCCAACACGACGAAACCCGAAAACGTGTTGACGTGGCTGTAGTGCGCGGAGGCGGGGATTTGTCTATGACAGGCAAGCGATTTATGAAATCGACTCGACGCGAACAACATAAGAAAAAGGAACAAAAAAGAAAAAACACGAGAACATAAGAAAATTGCAATTTCAATACGTCTAAACCTGAACGGAAGGATTCTGGGGGATCGTACCAGCGAAACAACGACTATTCCATGCGAATGAAAGATTAACAAAAAAAGAATAGAGAGAAACAGAAGAAACAAGAAGGAAAAGAAACAAAACGAGAGAGAAACGCACGTGAACCGGGGGGAAACGATTCTAAACCGTTTTAACGTATGTGGTGGAGCCTTAATTGCAACGCGCTCTGTGCTCAACGTGTGTACACGGAGAAGACGTGTGTACGGAGGAACATCCGCAGGGTGTCCCAGAAATATTGACGCCGCGATTCGTCGAATCGTGCTTCTTATTAGGTTCCAGATCCGGTAAAAATGGTAAAGGTACGAAGCCTTGATTTATCTAGTGTTCATGGCAAGCTTGTTGAGTCTTCCCGAAGAGAGATCGTTGAGAATTTTTTTGAGCAGGCCGCAATTACCGCCGAGGCTTCGTTTCGAACAAATCAAGTTTTTGTTACCATTTCTACCTCTCGTGTTACGTAGAATAATGTGTAGTTGGAATCGAATAAGGAGATATGATTTCATTTCTGTTTTCTTTTCTTTTTTTTTCTTTTTTTTTCTTCTTTTCTTCTTTTCTTTTTACATAATAGACCTTCGATGGTTTTTGGGACATCGTGTACATGTAAATGAACATATATATTCGAGTCTTTCTCTTTCTCTCTTACCGTTAGGGTAT